GCGGCTTTGTGCGACCCGGCGGAGTGGGGCTCCCGGCCAGGCCTGCCTGTCCCACTCGGGACATGAGCGGCTGAAGTTGGCCCCCCTCCGTCCACACCCCTGCCAGGGCCCCTGCGGGCTTCCAGCCGCTCCCCGCACCTCTCCTGGCCCCCTCGGTTCTCCCAGGTAAGTCTGGGCACCCTGCGAGCCTGTCGGGGGTGGGCGGAAGGCCCTGTCTGGCCCAGGCCCGGCTGCTGGCTGCGGGAGCGGTGCCCTCGCTCAGAGGCCAGGGCTCTCAGGCCTGCTGACCTGTGGGCAGTTCCCAACGGGAGGGGGCTGCCCTCAGGTCAGGCTGGTTACCATGGAAATGCCCGGCTGGAGGTGCCCCTCACCCCTGGGATGCAGCTTCCATCCTGAGAAAACTTTACTGGTTCTCAGCTCTTCGCTCCCCCTTCCTAAAGGTTCCCAGATTGCTGGGGTGGGGGTGGGGGGTCCGACTCCAGGGCCGGATGACACAGTCCCTTCGCCCCCACCCCCACCTTCTCCCTCTACCCCTGCTGCTGGGGACAAGCGGCAACAGGGACAGATGGCCTGGGTGATGTCCCTCCCCTTCCCTTCTCACTCCAGAGCCCTGGTGCTGGGCTACTGGGAGTTGCTGTGACTGGAGAGGTGCTGAGTTTATGTCCATTGACTGGAGGTGCAAATAGAGGCCCCGAGCTTTGGGCTTTAGCTCCTCAGTGCCATCACCCAGCCCCGGACGAGGTCTGGAGAGAGAAACAAGCGCTGAGACCTTTGCGGAACTGGAGAGGAAGTCAGGTGTCCTGCAGTCTTGCAGATTTAGCGCCAGCGTTCAAGTATCCCTATCAGTAAGGGGGCAGGGGAGGCTGTGCTTTGGGGGGGAATGGTCTATGTAGGGCCAAGGCCAGGTGGGAGAGTCTCGACTCTCGTTCATTGCCCAGGCCCAGCCTCTGGTGGGATGTGAGCTTGGGCTTCCTCTGCAGCCTTAGTCTACCTGTCTGCAGAGTGGGGAGGCCTGAGCTGTCTCCCTTCCCAGACACAGGCCTAGTCCAGGCTGGCATTTTGAAGGCTGTGTGGCTGCTTGGAGCCTGCGAGATGGCCTGTGAGAGCTCAGAGAGCTCACGCATGGGCTGAGGGCCTGTTGCGGGAACCCTGAGCCCGCCTGGGGCGCTGGGTTCCAGCCCGCGGTAGGCGTGTCAGGGCGAGCTGAGGGTGGAAGCCCGCTAGGCAGGATGAGGCACACGCGTGTGCAGGTACACACAGGCTCTGGCTCTTTGCACCTTCAGGGACTGTGCAGTCTGGGCCCCTCTGGGACCCTCCTTTGCCCATGTTGTGAGGAGGGGGCCCTGGGGAGAGAATTAAATGACACACGTTGGCACAGGGTCTTCCTTTGTCTCTTCTCCCCAAGGAACAAAATAGATTTTGTGTCTACACTGGGGAGGGGGCTCAGATACAGCCAGTACAGCTTCCCTTCCAAATGCAGTCCAGAATCTGGGGACTTGAGAGAGGAGTGTCACTGGACCCAGAAGCCCCAGGGCAGAGCCTCAGCTTTTCTTCCTGTCTGGTGGGGAGGGGAAAACAGTTTTAGAGGTACATGGCTTATACCTAACTGGGAACTTAATGTGTATTTCTTCCCGTCAGGAAATACTGTGTGGGGGACCGTGTGGGCTGGTAGATGAGGTGGATGAGGGGACTTGTGTGCACACATACAGATACACACAGCAGAGCCCCTGTCTATTCCTACTGGCCCCCTAGACCTAGGTCCTTCGCAGGCCTCCTGCTTCCCACTCGTAAGTAGAGTGGAATCCAGTGGAAGCTCCTGCCTCCCTCCCCCACTGCAAGTCTCAGAAGGAAAAGGGGTTGAGGCTTTGGGTTTCTGGTTTGGAGACAATACTCTACCCTTGGTGGGTGTGGGGGCTGGGCTGATAAGGCAGTGGCGGTTGGTGGGGGAGGCAGAGGTCCAACTGGTTATCTGGAGGGTGGCACCCAACAGACACCCACCCCCCTTTATCTTTCTACCCCCTGCCCTCCAGAGACCCTGGGGGTGGAGGAGGGGCGGAGAGTTTACAAAATCCCCCTTTCTCCTCTCCCACTTTGGTTTCTAGAGAGGAGTACAGTGGAGAGATGGTAGAAATTGTGTGGGATACGGGAATCAGATCTGGGCTCCGGTCCTAGCTCTGCTAATTACTGGCTTCATGATCTTAGCGAGTCCCCCTGGGCCCTCAGTTGCCTCATCTGTAAATGGGACTGTTACTGTCTACCCTGCCACCTTGCAAGGCTACTGTGACGACTGAATGAAACTGTGTGAATAGATGGTAACGTTGGGATATTTATTTAATCCACATTGCCGACATTTCCCAGCTTCAATTTCTCTTTGGTCATCCAGGGCTCATCCAAATGAAGAAATGGAGTCTTGGGTATGGGCTGCTATTAGGGCTGAATACTCCTATTTTCTTAATAAAACAAGATTAGAGGGACCAGCAGTTAGCGTAATGGCTGTGTTGCTGGGCTCTTACGTAGTCCTACATGGGGTTTATATTCCAGTGAAAGGAAATAAACAGTAAGAATCAGTGGGCCCAGCTGCAGTGGTGTTCGCTGCTAAGACACTATGTTCCATTTCAATCTAACATAAAGGCCGGGCAAGGTGGCACACACTAGTAATCCAGCAATTCTAGGAAGCGGAGACAGGAAGATTGCACCATGGTGAGATCCCATCTTATAAGAAGAAAAAAAAAAAGAAGAAGAAGAGGGACCAACAGTTGGTGAAATAGCTGTGTTGCTGGGCTCTTACGTAGTCGACTGCGGTTCAAGTCCCGGACTCTGTGGCTTAAACTCATGCCGGGTGCGTGTGCATGCGTGCCCAAGATCCTGAGAGGAGAATGGAGGAGAAGGGATTGTGCCATCCTCCCTGGGGGGTGATTTCTCGCTTTCTGTCTCTCTGTCTTTCTGGTGAGTGCATGCGCCCTATAGCAAAAAGACACTCAAAAAAAGAAAGAAAGAAAGAAAGAAAGAAAATAAAGGAAAAAAAAAAAGATTGGAGCCAGATTTAGGAGTGAGAGGTGCTCACAGAGTAGTCCCATCCCCATGTCTGTCCACCATTGGGCCAGAGGGCTCCATAGACCAGTCCCTATCCACACAGTCTAGCAGCTTCCAGGAAAACTCCCAAGGGGGTCTCAGGGCTTCCTTTCTTTCTCTTTTAGGTTGTTCCTCAAAGTCATTCAAGCTGTACTCGCCGAAGGAGCCCCCGAACGGCAACGCCTTCCCCCCCTTCCATCCCGGCACCATGCTGGATCGGGATGTGGGGTGAGTCTCTTGCCCACCTCCTAACCCTCCTGCAGATGGGATCCTGCCTGGATAGGGGAGGGAACAATTCCTATCTTCCACCCCCATTCTCATGGCCTCTTCCCTTACGCAGCCCAACTCCCATGTACCCGCCTACATACCTGGAGCCTGGGATTGGGTAAGTGGAGTGCAGTGGGGAGAGAGGTGCTTTCCATTATTATAAGGGTGTAAGGAGGCTCTCTTCTTCCTGACCTCCCTCCTTCACTTCCCCCAGGAGGCACACACCATATGGCAACCAAACTGACTACAGAATATTCGAGCTTAACAAGCGGCTTCAGAACTGGACAGAGGTATGGCCGAGGGAAAAGGGCTGGGAGGGGGAAAGCCACCTGGGCACCCTGTGGGTTGTCTTGTGACACATACGTACACACCTCCCTGTTCTCCTCAGGAGTGTGACAATCTCTGGTGGGATGCTTTCACAACTGAGTTCTTTGAGGATGATGCCATGTTGACCATCACTTTCTGCCTGGAGGATGGACCAAAGAGATACAGTGAGTGGCCTCCAGGGTTCTGCTCTCTGCTATAGAGTGTTGTGTGAAGGGACTTCAGTAAGTCTGATAACATGGAATTAAAGTATAAGTTTATTTTGGTACACACATTTTTTGGAAATCCACGTATGGTTTTTTTGTAATATGCATTTTCCATAAACTGTTTTGAAGACCCTTTCCTACCTCCTGTGCAGTTCTGAAGTCTTGGAAGTGGGTCTGTAAGTGCCAGAGATCTATCCTGGCAGAGGAGGCATCAGTCTGGCCCCTTTCGAGGTCCCTCTGTCCTAAAGAGTTTGTCCCGTCTCTGCAGCCATTGGCCGGACCCTGATCCCACGCTACTTCCGCAGCATCTTTGAGGGCGGTGCTACGGAGCTGTACTATGTGCTGAAGCACCCCAAGGAGGCATTCCACAGCAACTTCGTGTCCCTCGACTGTGATCAGGGCAGCATGGTGACCCAGCATGGCAAACCCATGTTTACCCAGGTCAGCAGCTCAGCGGGTTGTGGGACACCAGGGCACCTGGCTTGGAGGCCCCTCTGTGAACGTGTACTCGCAGCTGTCCCCTGGGGATGTGCAGTGAGAAGTAGCAATAAGAAAGTGGGGAGCAGGGACTAGCAAGTGGCATGGTGGTTAAAGTGCCGAACTCCCACATGGCCAACTGCAGCTTGAGTCCCAGACCTAGTGACTTCGAAATCATGTGTACGTGTGCATCCCAAAGTCCCGAGAAGAGTGGAAGAGAAGGGATTGCAGCGTGGCCATCCCCCCCAGAGAATGATTTCTCACTTTTCCTCTCACTGTCTCTTAGTCGAATGCACACACCCTGTGGCAAAACCTAAAGGGGGGGGGCAGGTATGTTACAACAAGCAATGTTTATTGAGGTTATACATGGTAGTTTCTGGGCACCAGGGACTTACCAGTGAACAAGGACCTACCAACTCTCATAGCACTTACAGCACATGGCGTACCACCAGCTATGTGGGGGAGGATAAGGACCTGCTGGCTTTTCTATTGTGTGGGGTGTGTGTTTAACCCCAGGGGTGTGACAGGTATATCAGGGTAGAATTATGAGAGTTATGCACTCAGAGATACATGAAGGTGGCGGAAGTGCATGTAGTGGGAAAGTTTGGAGCAAATGGGGAAACTGTAACAGGCACGCTTCCAGCTGTGGGCAGGGTTGGCCAGGGTTGTGACAAGCCTGTCCCCAGGTGTGTGTGGAAGGCCGGTTATACCTGGAGTTCATGTTTGATGACATGATGCGGATAAAGACGTGGCACTTCAGCATCCGGCAGCACCGAGAGCTCATCCCCCGCAGCATCCTTGCCATGCACGTGAGTTGTGGGCAGGACCCAAGATGCAGGGGTGAAGGCAGCTGGTGGGAAGGTGGAGCAAGGCCTGCCATTCCTGGCTGTGACTTTAGATAGAGGATTAGACTTTCTTCACTTCAAAGCAGGTTTAATAATACCCCCTTGGCCAGCCATGGTGGGATAGTTTAGGCAGCTGGATCCCACGTGGCAAACTGTGCAGTTTGAGTCCCAGACCCCGTGGCTCGGAAAAACACACTGGCACATGTACTTGTGTGCCTGAAATTCTGAAAGGAGGTAGAAATGGAGAAGGGATTGTGTGGCCATTCCCCATTCCCTACGAGGGTGCCTTCTCTCTCTCTCTGTCTCTATCCAGAAGTGCATGCACCTCTGGAAATATTTTTAAAAAGCCTCTTTTCTCTGTGAGTAGTGTCACTGTGTTCAGATCATAGAGCAGGTGAACAGGCTAATGTTCTTGTCTTCCTTCCCTTTTAGGCCCAGGACCCCCAGATGTTGGATCAGCTCTCTAAAAACATCACTCGGTGTGGGCTGTCCAATTCCACTCTCAACTACCTCCGAGTGAGTCTCTGACGCCAGTTTCTGCCCCATCCCATTTGGTATCTGCTTCGTGTCTCTCCCTTGACGGGCCATTTCCTGGTCTTCCCCCAGCTCTGTGTGATACTCGAGCCCATGCAGGAGCTCATGTCCCGCCACAAGACCTACAGCCTCAGCCCCCGCGACTGCCTCAAGACCTGCCTTTTCCAGAAGTGGCAGCGCATGGTAGCACCCCCCGGTGAGTGCCTTGCCCCTGCACCCGCTCTGACCAGGATCTGCCACCACTCCTCGAGACCGTAGCTGTCTCTCTTTAGGAAGGTCCCCTGCCCCTACATTGCTCCTGGGTCTGCAGGATTGGGATCAGGGTAGGCTCAGGCTCCTCGGGAGCCAGAATGGAGAACGAGAGGCCCAGGACCCTCTCCCACCAGAGTCTCCTTTCCCTGGCACAGCGGAGCCCGCACGGCAGCAGCCCAGCAAACGGCGGAAACGGAAGATGTCAGGGGGCAGCACCATGAGCTCGGGGGGTGGCAACACCAACAACAGCAACAGCAAGAAGAAGAGCCCAGCCAGCACCTTCGCCCTCTCCAGCCAGGTACCTGTAAGCATCTCGGCTTTCTTCTCTCTTCTGGGCTGCCCCACCACTCACCCCTGACCCTGTCTGAGCCTGGCCTCACCGGCAGGCACACAGCCGAGACAGTTCTCCCATGTACTCTGCCAGCGCGGGCTAGCTCCTTTCCCTGGGCAGAGTTCTTGCCAGGCACATGCGTGGTAGTGATCACAGTCCGGGCCTTAGGAGCACAAGGCGTACGGGGCAGAGGCCACCGTAACAGACGGACGCTCAGGACCGACAGCTGGGGACACAGACCATCAGGGACACACACTCAGGTTGACAGAGGGACGCGCTGACTTGGGTTTAGAGGGTAGACCTATGCACGGGCACACGTTTCCCTCCCTTCTGTTTTCGATCTGCTCCCTGTCTTACATGTGGACAGAAGTTTAGGAGCCCCCTAACATTCTGGGGAGCTGGACTAGGGAGCTAGGAGAGTAGATTGACCTCTCCTCCCAGACTCTAATGGATATAAGCTAACCAAGGCTGTGATGCTCTGGCGTCCTTCAGTAGGAAGGGTTCCAGGAGCTGATGGCATCAGAGGAGTTGGGGATTTAAAGTTGGGGGTGAGGAGTGGGTGGGAGGCATTGAGCTTCCGGGGTGGGTACTGGGGCTCTGGGGGTATCTGCCGCCCTGTGCTGGGCGAGCCCCTGCCCCGATTATGTTTGGGGACCTCCGCCACTCTCAGGATGTGATGGTGGTGGGGGAGCCCACCCTGATGGGCGGGGAGTTCGGGGACGAGGACGAGAGGCTCATCACCCGGCTGGAGAACACCCAGTTTGACGCGGCCAACGGCATTGACGACGAGGACAGCTTTAACAACTCCCCTGCACTGGGCGCCAACAGCCCCTGGAACAGCAAGCCTCCATCCAGCCAAGAAAGCAAATCGGAGAACCCCACATCACAGGCCTCCCAGTAAAGGCCCTGCCATGGCCACCCAGCACTCTGCCTGCCTGCCCCACCCCTTGCAGCCCCAGGGAGCGGAAGACAGATGAGGAGACTGAGCATCTAAACGGGCAGCCTCCGTTACCCATTCAGGGAGGAACTGGACTCGCTGGGGGCAGGTGCCCAGATTTGTCCCCCAGTGGCCCTGGGCTGGGCCTGGCTTCTGCAGAGCCTTGGGGGAAAGGGGGGACTTGTGGATGCCTGTGTGGACCCTGGGCCTCTGAGAAATGCCCTGTTGACCCCCCAGGGCATTTGCTTCCATCCTCATTCAGGCTCTGGGTTCCCCATCCCCCTGACTTCACCCCCTTCAAGCCTGGGGTTGTCTGTACCCACAGCCCTTAAGGACTTAACTTCTCGGGGCTTGGCTGAATGCCCCTCCCTCTAAGTGGCTGGCAGAGGGGTCAAACTCTGGCCCCCTCCCTCTGCCACTCATCTCAGCTCCAAGTTTTTTAAAAAAATAATATTATTAAAAATGTAAGTTTAAAAAAAGTCATTCATGTCCCCCCTCTTCCCCCTATTAAAAGTCTGGCAACCTCCTTATTCCTGGCAGGTGGAGGGCCTAGGGCCCAGGTCGGGGCGAGAATGGGGGTAGGGCGGTACCATTTTACACAGTTTGAGAGCTTCAGACCAAGGAGACACTTTGCCATCTCTCTTCCCTTTTCCCTGGGGGTGACTGGAGGTGGAGAAGGCATGCCATGGGTGGGGGAGGCCATTATAGCACATCCTTCTGACACCCCTGCTGATGTGTCTGCCCACCCTCCGGGACTCCGGCCTGCCCTCCCTGTGCTTGTGACCTCCCCTGTCCAGCCCCCATGGTGTGCATTTTCCTAAGCCCCCCACTAGAGCAGCTGTCGTGGATGGGGAGGGGCGCTCCCTTCCTTAGGAAGTGTGGAGGGAAGGGAGCAGCCTGGTTTGTCACTGTGCTTTTTGTTTTGTCTCAGTTGGGCAGGCCTGGGATGGAAGGGGCTCAGCCACTGTCCTCAGACCCTCTTCCCCCAATCTCTGAAACTGCACAGCTAGTCCTACTTGCCCTCCACAGAGGGATTGGGGCGCTGGAGAAGCCCAGCCCTGCTCCCACCAGGTAGAAGAGGCTCTGACCCCTTGGACCCCCCAGCTGAGGTGGACCACCTTTGTCTCTCAGTACCCACTCCTGTCCTCTTTTATAGGAGGGAGGAGGGACCCTCGTGGGCTTTGTGGTCCTGCTGCCTCTTCCGCAGCCAGTCCCAGGAAGTGTGGGCACCACCCCTCTCCCTCCTCTTCCCTTGGGGTTTTGGGGTCCCTCACACCGTTTTCTCCACACTCCAGCTGCCATTTGGGGAAGGTATTGTGTCAGGAGCTGAGGAAGGGGTGAGGAAGGTGGACGTCCCACCCCAACTGTAATGCCTTTTTTTTTTTTTTTTTTTTTTTTTTTTTGACCACTCGAGTCATGTATGGTACCAGTCAATAAAGAGACTTTTTGGTTTGAGAGTGTCCTGGTTGGTCACTGATGCCTGAAATGACTGTCCAGGGCAGTCTTCTCCCCATTCTCGCAGTTCCTAAGACCCATCCCTGGGGGAAGGGTGTGACTATGACTTGGAATTCACTTCCGTTTTAAGGGGTGTTTCCCCTGAGTCCTGCCTCTCCTTCTCCCAGACTAAAGTTTGTTCCCGGATGGCAGCCAGCTGATCCTATCTCCTTCGCAGGTTGGTTTTCCCAGCCCCTCCCAGATTGTTGCTCCTGCATGCTCGTTGTCATGGCCTTCCAGAAAGGTGGGCCTCCTGAGGCAGGGTTCCCGGGATAGGCAGCCTGGACAACGTATCGAGAGAAGGGTGGGCAAAAGGATCCTTGCCTAGGAGGGAGATTGGGGCAGTTAGAGTGAATGGGAAAATCCTTTTTTTAAAAATAATAAAATTATTTTATTTGTTCATTTATTTTAATTAACCAGAGAGAGAAAGAAAGCCACCAAGTCCGGGACTCAAACCGTAGTCAGCCATGTGGGACTGTCCAGTGCCTTAATCACCATGCCACCTGCTGGCCCCAAGTTGGCTCGTGGTGTGTCCTAGAACACACTTTTTTGTTTTTTACCATAGGGTGTGTGTACTAACTAGAGAGGGAAAATGCGAAGTCACCCCAGGGGGTTGGTCACACAGCAGTCCCTTCTTTATTCTCCCCTCAGGATTTCGAGCATGCATGCATATGTACCTGGTGTGATCCTCAAGCCACCAGGTCCCGGACTTGAACCATGGTCAACCTTGTGGGGGTCCAACACCTTAACCACCATCCCACCTGCTTGCCCCTCTTTTTAATTGTTAGAGATCACATGCTCTCACCAGAGACAGGAGAGAGAAAGCACCTCCTGATGGGGCATGGTCATGCCTCAGTCCCTTCTCTATGTTTCTACCCTACAGGATTTGGGGGTGCACAAGCACATGTTCCAGTCTTGTTTTTCAAACTGCCAGGGCCAAGACTTGAACCATAGTCACCCATGTGGTTTCCAGCTTCCTTAACCATTACGCTATAGGGTCAGCCACCTCCTATTTCCTTTCTTTTTTAAGGGATTATTTTGCAGGGCTGGCAGGCGGCATGGTGGTTAAGGGTGCTAGACTCCCACATTGCTGACTATGGTTCGAGTCCTGGGCCGGGCAGCTTGCTTTCTCACTTTCTCTTCTCACTCTGTCCTTCTCTGGTCAAATAAGTAAAGTTAAGTAAAATAAATTTTTTTTGAAGAGGTTTTTGCTATAGGACATGTGCACTCGCCAGAAAGACAGAGACTGAGAGACATGAAGTGAGAAGTCTCGCCCTGGGGGGGGATGGCCATGCTGCAATCCCTCTCCATTCTCCTCTTGGGATCTTGGGCACGCATGCACATGCGCCCAGCGTGAGTTTAAGCCACCGGATCTGGAACTCGAACCGTGGTCGACTACATGGGAGTCCAGTGACATAGCCATTACACCAACTGCTAGTCCTCCAAACAATTCTTTTTTTAAAAGAGAAAAGATTATCTTGCTATAGGGCACATATGCTTGACAGAGAATCACCTCCCAGCAGGGATGGCCACACTACAGTCCCTTCTCCATTCTCTTGGGATCTTGGGTACTCACAGAGGCTCCTGGTGTGAGTTTAAGCCATCAGGTCCGGGACTCGAACTGTGGTCAACAACATGAGAGTCCATTGATATAAACATTACGTCATCTACACCATCTGCTGGTTCTCCCCCTTTTTTTTTTTGGAGAGATTTTTGCTATAGGGCGCGTGCGCTCACCAGACAGACACAGACAGTAGCAACAGAAAGCGAGAAATCATCCCCCAGGGGGGATGGTCACACCGCAATCCCTTCTCCTCCATTCTCCTCTCGGGATCTTGGGCACGCACGCACACGCGCCTGGCATGAGTTTTAAGCCACCAGGTCCGGGACACGAACTGCGGTCGACTCTGTAGGAGTCCAGCAACATAGTCATTACGCTAACTGCTGGTTCCCTCCCCTTTTTGTTTTTAACCAGCGAGATTCCTGCCCCTGCCTAGCACCCAGCTTACTGGGCCAGCTGAGACCTAACTGGTCTCTGGTGCTACGGTTGGGGTGGAGAGGAGAGGAGCAGGACCGCCTGTCTGTCTCCCCGATGACTTTGGGTGAGGGTTCCAAAGGAGGAGGAATCCTAAGCTCTGTTGCCAGGGGGCACCCTGGACTCCGTGGGAGGATGGAAGGAGAAATAGTCACTGTAGACTCCTTCCCAGGTACGATAGTTCCTCAGGTCTCCAAGTTCCCTCCTCCGCACCATTAAATTGGCAAAACAGGGAGACCCTGCTATGGGAGATGGTGTTGCAACACCCATAAAGCCCCCTACACAGGATCCCTCATTTTCATCTAGGCAGGGGAAGCTGAGGCCTCAGGCCATTCCCCTCAGCTAAGATCTCTGGATCTGAAGTAACTCATGGATTGCACCTCCACCCTCACCTCAGCTAATACAAAGACACCAGAAGAGAGGGCTGCATGGTCTCCCCACTCCTGCAACCCGGTTACCATGGCCCTGCCCTGGTGCCAGCCCAGCTCCTCAGAGCTCCAACCTCAGGACCCCAAGAACTGCATCTGCACCCCTGCCTCTCTCCTGCTCTGTAGGTAGGCCTGGCCCAACTGAAGGACACTGACCAGCCAGCTGCTACCACCAGGTCACCTGAGAGTGCAGGTAACACCAGCAGTGGGTCTGGGCCTGCCACTGGGGGTGTGCATGTGTGTGTGCGTGTGACTGCTGATCTGGGAAAGGACCTAGGTATGTGCGTGTGTGTGCGTACACGTGCGAGGGTGTATCTGGGCACGTATGCACACGTTTATGTGTCTTGGCAGATTCAGTCAGTCAGCTGGCCCTCTCTAGGTGCCAGGTCCAACTCTAGGTGTTGAAAAGTCAGAGAAGGTGTGACTGCTGGGTGAGTGGGAGGCCGTGAGTACATCAGTGGCTTGGCCTGCAGCTGTTGGGTGATGGGGCTGCTGGGGCAGTGGTCATATGGCTGGGTTGGGCATTTGTAGGTTCGCATCCTGTGTATTATTTGTGTGTGTGCTGGAGGAGGTGGTCAGGAAAGAGATTGCCAGGTGGGACCCTACCCTGCTTGGGAGAAAGAGGGGATCGGAGAGAACTAGAAACACAGTGGCTGATGAGTTTCTGGAGCCCCAGATCAAGCTCCTCCGCACTGCCCCCACCAGCCCCTCTGGGGAAGCCCTTGGTGCAGAGGAATGGCTAGCTGGCTGAAAGGAGCAGTGCCCTTAGGCCCTGAGCCCTGTTCCCAGGTGCAGGAGTGGGCCGATCCCAGGCCCCAGCATGCTGCAGAAGAACTTGTCTCAGGCCAACTGTGTAGCCCAGTCAGGGCCCCTGAACCCACAGGGTCACGGGCTCTGAACACAGCCACACACCTCTGTCCCTTCTCTGGACCCCAGCTCTTTCCCCATGGTTCCTAGCTTAGTATACCCAGCCTGAGCTCCAGCACCTCCTCTAGGACCCTAGTCTAGTCCAGCACAACCCCAACCCCCTTTCATAACCTTAGCCCACTCCAGCCCAACCTCCGACCCTTCCCTGAAGGTAGGACTCTAGCCTGGCCAGCCTGCCTGGTTCAAGTCCCTTTCCCTAAGGTAAAACATGGAAGCATCCCTTTTCCACAAAGTAGGGCTTTATCTTGGGGCTTGGTAGAGCAGGAGAGGATCAGGGGTGAGGAGCTACAGCCTGAATGAAGGGGAGGGTAGGGAGGCAGGGAGATGAGGGGCAGGAGGTGCTGAGAATGGCCTGCGTGTGGCCTGGACCAGGCTGAAAGGAAGGGAATGTATAAAACGTTTTGAGGTAGCAGCCCCTCCAGTTGCAGGCTGAATTTCAAAAATGGTTTTGCCCCTGCTGGCCCCAGCTCCCCAGTACCCAGAATGTTCACAGCCACTATCGGTTGTCATCCTGTGGCCACAGTCCCATTCTCTCAAGACCCACGCCTGGGGCTCCTCCCCACCCCCACCCTGAGGTCGATATGAAGGTGGGAGAGTATTCGCTGGGGCGTGGAGGAAACTGAATGGGAATGGGAGCCGACCGACTCAGACCTCCAGGTTCCTTCAGTCTTGGGAAGGGACCATTTTCCAGTGGATTCCAGGACCTTCTTCCTAAGTAGCCCAGCCCTGGATTACCTCTCTCCTGGTTGCACCACACCCCCAATGCCATCAGCTCACTTCTCCAGGAAGAGAGCCTAGGGACAGTGCTGGAGAAACGTCCCAGAGGGGTTTGGAGAATA